ACCTATTGCTCACTAAGTTTTGAGGACCCCATCCCCACCACCAAGCTTGGGGTCTGCATTTGTAGGCATTCATCTAGGCCTACCTTGTGGCACTTTTGGGGGTATAGGCCATAAGGAGAACAGCTTTGTGTCAGCAAGGCCATGTATTTACTTTCAGTTCAAGTGGCTACCTACTTGGACTCAACAAACAGCTAAAGTTTTTAGTTCAAAGTTCTATATCCTTATTGCTGCCATCATTTATTTCATCTTTGGGAAATCATTCATCAGCCTTGGCCATACTGCCTTTCAGCTGGAGCCATGAGCTTGCTGCCTCATTGTCAAAACATCCTCCTGCCTCCTGCCCAGAGACTGAGCAATAACCTAAGTACAATTTGGGCAGCATGTTTCAATCCTACCTCTTGCTCCTTAGCCTCAAAATATTCTCAGGTAGGACTCTTTCTTCAGGTGGGACTTTCCTCAGGACTCTTTCCTCCTCCCTCACTTGGGAATATCTGATTTGCTACCAGATCCCAGGGGATTTCTTTTATCCCCTAATCCAGCCCATGAAAGGCCTTTGTCCTTTCTCTTCTAGAAAACCATGTTGGTCAGGATCCAATTTTCATTACTAAAACTTTCACATCTGTGAATTTTATCCTACTTGTAAGCTAACAAGTTAGCCTGCTATGCTTTCATGGATGTTGCCAGAAGACATGAGATTCCTGGGTCAGAGACAAATAACTTTATTACTTATGGTATAGCTAGCAACATGAGCATGATGTTTGCACCAGCTGCCCATGGCCTACACCCCCCAAAGTGCCACAGGGTAGACCTAGATGGATGCCTACATATGCAGACCCCAAGCTTGTGAGGGGAGCGGTGCTCAAAACTTTCATAGTAAGCAACAGGCAAATTTGCTCATTTCAAGGTAGCTTACTGCTAACAGAACACTGAGGTACAGCCCAAGAAGAATGGTCAGTCTTACATTCACGAGGCAAGAATATACATGCAGGAACACTCAGGGCTCATGGCAGATTGTTTCTCCCGTTTCTCTTTCTCCAGTGGGTTACCTTTGACAGTATTAATCAACTAACTCTGGGGCACTAAGAGCCTGACAACTACTCAATCCTCATCAATTGCTTCCCAGAACAGTTTGTCACAGGGAAATCCCTCTGAAAGGGCTATTGCTCCTTTATAGCAGCCAAGAAAAACCTGAGACCTTTCCTGTTGTGTCGGCATGGGTCTAAGCCTGGAATGACAAACTGTAGGAGGGGGTTGGCTCTAAGACAGCCCAACAGTTTCCATTCTTCCTTAACAAGTATTATGTACCCTGAATCCCTCTATGCCCAAGTGAATAAACCAAAGTTCTAACAATTCACCTGGTTTCTGTCCACAGGAGTAAGGAATTTCCCTTCTTTCAAGCTCTTGTAAGGACGTGTCTCTGTGACTGTTATCTGAGAGGAGGAAGAACCCGCTGCCTATACAGGAAGAATGTTAGTAGCAGCAGTTAAAATCGGGCAGACCTGAGGCTGAATGCCAGATTAGTGATGAAGTACTTCTTTCTAGAAGACAGTAAGCAACAACCAGGACATAGTTTCAGCAACCATCTTTGAATCTGTTCCGGGAACTCTGGAACCACCTCCCTAGTTCCTTATTAACAGACAATGATGTGTGTATGTATTTAAAACATTATTCTCAGAAGGGGACCATAGGGTGGGTTGTTAGGAATACTCTAATTTAATAACAAAAAAGGCTGTCAGTAGGGACAGGATATATTCTAAAAGTCTAAATTAATGTGCTATTAACAGTTTTCTCTGATGACTTCCACCAAGGAGAAAAGGTTTGGGGTGTGGGTAGGGCTAGCCAGGAGTGGATAAAGTAGAGTTAGTGAGAGATCGGGCTCTAAGCTGAGGAGGAACTTGGGTCCAGAGAAGAACACAACTTGTGTGTATGCAAAGGGACTTTGCATCTTCTTCCATTCCCCGAAATTGTTCTGAAGTAAAACTTGTTTCTACACATACATAAAAGCATGACAAACATTAAATATACATTAGTAGCTGAAATTTGCAAATAATGAAAAAACATTAGGATCTTTTTCCACTGTCCTCAGTGGCCCTCTATGTTCTCAAAAGAAGTCCGTCTGAGGTTAAGTGTGAGGAACTGAGAACTTCACTCATGATGACGTGATGGGTGTCAGGGTTTCCTGGTGGCAAGGGTGTTGCAGACCTACTAGAGGGTACAGAGCAGCCCAGCAGCATTCTGGACTGGGCTGAAGTGGCCAGTAGATGCATGTGTCAGAAGCTGGCCAGAGGCGCTCCGCAGCTCTACAAAGTGTGCCCTTGCTGAGGCTTGAGCTTGCAGAGGGTACTTTTTGTTCATGTGATGAGACACTTCTAAAATGCCACAAGTGAAAAGACAGGGGACCAATTGCAACATGTAGCTGGGCTGATAACTCACTTCTTCAGCAAACCTAAACTGCTTCAACTGGTTTCTGGAGTCAGGGAAAAACCTTAAAAGAGATCCATGTAGTCCAAGAAGTCTCAAGTGGGGCTTATAGGCACCTTTTGGGGATATGGCACCCAACATTTTTTTGTAATCATTAAGAGATGTTTTATATTTCCCAGGGGGTAAGGAGTCTTCATAATCTCAAAAGAATACATTCTCTCAAACTTTTTTTTAACAAGAGACTTCACCCCAGAAAAGGAATAGGATGTATTCAAGGTCACAAATTAGAAAAAAGTTGCCAACAACCCAGGTTTCTCGTTTCTCATTTGAGGACCCATTTGCTTCCCCTCTCTTCAATCCACACTCCTTCCTGGAATAGTGAAAAAAACTGGGGAAAAATTATGATCAATAGGGAATTAAAGTAAAAACACTTATACTATGAATATTATGTAGCTATTAAAAATGAGACTGACCTGGCCGGGTGTGGTGGCTAACGCCTGTAACCCCAGGACTTTGGGAGGCCGAGGTGGGCAGATCACGAGGTCAGGAGATCGAGACCATCCTGGCTAACACGGTGAAACCCCGACTCTACTAAAAATACAACAAAATTAGCTGGGCTTGGTGGCACACGCCTGTAGTCCCAGCTACTCAGGAGGCTGAGCCAAGAGAATGGCATGAACCTGGGAGGCAGAGCTTGCAGTGAGCCGAGATTGCACCACTGCACTCCAGCCTGGGTGACGGAGCAAGACTCTGTCTCAAATAAAAAAAAGAAAAAAAAAAAAGAAACTGACCCGTGTGTGTGTGTGTGTATATACACACACACACACACACACACACACGGGTTATCACCCCAGCTACTCGTTGCAATTGGTCCCCTGCCTTTGCACCTGTGGCATTTTAGGACAGTTTCTTTTATATATGTATGTCAGACTTTTTTTTTTTTTTTTTTTTTGAGACAGAGTTTTGCTCTTGTTGCCTGGGATGGAGTGCAGGGATGAAACCTCAGCTCACCGCAACCTCAACCTCCTGGTTCAAGCCATTCTCCTGCCTCAGCCTCCCAAGTAGCTGGGATTACAGGCATCTACCACCATGCCCAGCTAATGTTTTGTATTTTTAGTAGAGATGTGGTTTCACCATGTTGGCCAGGGTGGTCTTGAACTCCTGACCTCAGGTGTGACTTACCTGTCTTGGCCTGCCAAAGTGCTGGGATTAAAGGCATGAGCCACCATGCCTGGCCTCAGACTCATTTTTAATAGCTGCATTATACACACACACAGGGAAAATGCCTAAGACATATTAAGTTTAAAACACAAATTACAGGACATATATCAATATAATTCAATTTTTGTTAAAAAAAAAAGTGTATGTGGAGATACATATTTGCATGTACATGTAAAGAAAAAAGCATATTGGGGGAACTCTAAGGGATCATCATGGAAAGGGTTATTCACTGTCTCTATCTGCAAGCCTTGAGACCCTTGTGTCAACAGTACAGTTGGCCCTCTATATCTACAGATTTAACCAACCATGGATTAAAAATATATTTTAAAAAATAACAAAAAATATAAATAAAAAAACCAATGCAGTATAACTAGTTACATACCATTTACATTGTATTAGGTATTATAAGTAATCCAGAGGTGATTAAAAGTATATGGGAGGATGTGTGTGGGTTATATGCAAATATACTACACATTTTATATAAGGGACTTGAGCATCCTTGGATTTTGGTATTCTTGGGGCTCCTGGAACCAGTCTCCCACAAATACCAAGATGACTGTAACTCCTCCATTGTAAAAATACACTTATCTGGTTACATGCTTTCAAAAACTTTAAGAAGCTCACAGATTAGGATTATCACCTTGTGGGAGGGAAAGGAAGCAGAAACTGGAAGCTCAGAGAGAATTCTGCAACTTACCCAAGGTTTATAGGAATGAAGAGTACAGAATCCAAGGCTTTAACTTTCTGTCCAGTGTTGTTCACAATTCCCTACTATGTGGTGTGAGATATGACAACCTTCCCAAGACAAACAGGAAGTGCGATAATGGTAATTTCTTACAAACTAAATATAGTGTTGGGGACTAGGCTCAGCCGGAACTGATGTTTTGTAAATCTGCAGGGAAATATTCCTAAAGGTCAAAGGATCTTGGCAAGCACCCAGGTCTTCTCTGACCATACTGGGAAAACACTGGAAAAACTGCTGTTTTGTCTCTGCAGGACCACAAACTCTGAAGCCAGACTCCCCAGGTTTGAATCCCAGTTCTATCACTAGCTGTGTGACAATTATTTAACTTTTGTATCTCAGCTTCCTCATGTGTAAAATGGGGATAATAACAGTACCTACCTCTTAGGATTGCTGTGAGTATTATTAACACATGTAAAGTACTTGGAGCATTTCTGACACAAAATAAGTACAGAATGTTGTTATCATTGCTGTTATCACTGGAAAGCTAAGAGTTCCTCAGCTACAGGTTCTCAGGGGTCTCTGACAAGTAAAATAGCCTAAAAACGAAAAAAAACCTATAGTAGAAAGATGTTAACACTTGTTTCTCTGTTCTCTCCATCAAGACTATGACTCATTTTTTTCACATCTTCCTTCCTTTTATTGAAAAAAATTTTAGAAAATGGCAGTTAATAAAAGGCACAAACAAATCAACAGGGATATACTAGTGGAAAACACAATATAAAACTAAAATGCCATTGGCTTCTTTAACTGGTTAAAAGCACAAAATGTAACAGGCAGAAAGTCTGTTTCAAACAAATTAAAAAGCTATGTTTTTTTAAAATTCTCCCCAAATCAGATATATACACACCCACAAAAATAGTGTGTGAAGGAAAGCTGTCATACACAAGACGTTGTATCCTGAATTCTTCAAGGAAACACATATTGAAATAGGAATTAACAGAGTCAGCAACAGATTAATAATTTTTTAAAATTCAGTCTTAAAATGCTACATGGCCCAAAGCTATACTATATAAAGTATGCTAGGTACAAAAGAAAACATCTGTACAGCTTTTAGCAAAACTACTTTCCCAGAAAAGCAAATTAAAATAATGTAATCAGCAGATCAAGGAGACTACAGCTAGACATCAGAGCTACAACTTCTCATATCTGTGTCAGAAAATCCTATTTATCCAGAATAGACTAAAATTTCAGGACAAAACAGGGACTTTTAAACATTTCTTACTTTATCCATTTTAAGTTCTTTTTATCTCCCCCACCCCCCAAGCCAGTAATTCAGCAAGATCCAGCAGAAAGAGGGCTACTTTTAGAATTGGCTATTTTATTTTTCTTTCTACGGCGAGACTGTCATGGAGCCTGGATATTTCAGGCTCATATGCATCCATGACCAGTGTCCCACTGTGGTCAAAAAACTTAGCAATGGACTTGGTGAACTCGGCTTCCCGCTGCTGCTTTGTTCTCCCACTGATGAAGGTCAGCTTCAAGGTGTATTTGTCATCAAACCTAAGCATGGGGGCAAAGATAACAAATCAAAAACCAAACACAGAGATTCAACCAGTACATGGCACCAAGTGATTCCGAAGAAAAGGAGTAAGTTGGGCGCCGGTGATACAGGGAACAAACACATCCTTTAAAAGCAAAAACAAAAACAAAACCCCAGGGCTCCTAACTCTTCAAGATACTAGTTCTGATTCTTAGGTGTTGATATATCTTTCCTGCTTTAATTACTGTGTACCTCCTTTACCTTGCTGTAGACTTTTAAGCCATGTGGACCATCTTCTCCCATCTCTGGACTTTGTATTTGCCATGCTAGATAGGTCTTCCTAGAAGACTCTTCTCCCCTGTCTCACCTGACAAGTTCTTATTTGTTAACACTATACTTGGGCATAAACTTTTCTGGGAAAGCCTCCCAATCTGGGTCAGATGTGTCTCCTCTGTCTTCCACAGCACCATCAATCAACATTCAACTCAAATGCTGACCTCCTATCATATGCCAGGCCTCATAATAGGATGCTATGGTATCAACAAAATTACCTATCTGTTGACATGATGTGTACTATGTTCTTTTCCCTTTGTTTCTGGTGCTTGAATCAGGATTGTCTAGGAGATTCTTGAGCAAAGATTTTTGTCTTGTTTCATACTCTTAGCTGGGTTTCTAGCAGGCAATCAAATTTTTATAAATAAATGAAGAACCCTTGCTTTCAAGGATGCTCTCCAATCCCAGGGTGCCTAGTCCTTACACTCTGTAATCAATCTAGCTCCAGGTTTTACTCTGATCACAGGCCAAGGATGCTAACTGCTTTACTAAATGAACTCCAGAGACTCCTTATCTATACTTTAAGGTACCCTGAAGGCCATTACTATGTCCCTCCATTCAAGAGGGTTTAATGACACCAATTACTGGTAGGCTGACATCCCCTACCCTGTTTCCATTTATTGGGACATATTCAGTGGATTGTTAAGCTAGTATTATCTTTAGATGAAGCAGTTTCTTGAGGCTCTATTTCTGCATGTTTAAAATGGGAGAACTTCCATCTGCTTTTAGGATTACTGTCATGACTAAAACAGTGCCTTTCATTAACTAGTGCTCAAAAGATCACAGCTCCTCAGTAATTGCTGGTCTAGGCAGTAACTCCCAACTTGGAGAGCTAGTCGTGAAGTTCCTTTAACTATTTTCAACACCTCAAAAGATTTTCTCAAGTTCTGACCAACTGCTACTAATTGATATCACAGTAATTTTTAGATTTCTGTGCCCAGTTTTATTGGCAGTTACATGGCTTTGGTGGCAGTCCATGAACTGATGAGTTGTGACCTGACACATTTTAGAAATGTTCATTAATTAAGATATTTATTAAGCCTACCTATATGGGTCAGGCAGTTTTAGATGGTAAGAATATATGGCAGTGAACATAATATAAATGTCTGCCTTTTGGGACTTTCATTTCAGTGTGTGTAGGGAACAGACAGTATAAAAAAATAAGATGTTCTCTTAAATAGGTGGGCAGAAAAACCTTCACTAAGCAGATGTCTGAGCAGAGCCAAGAAAGGTAAGAGAACAAGCTCTCTGGAAAAAGAATGTTCCAGGCAAAAGCAACAGCAAGTGCAAAGGCCCTGAGGCAAGAACATGCCTGAAATGTCTTAAGAACAGAAAAGGGCGTAATGTGAACAGAATGAAGTGGGAGAGGATGAGAGCCATAGGAGATGAGGGGTATGTTTGCATAGGTGTGTGAAGTGCAGAGAATAGACATGTATGGACTTCCAGGCCATCCTCAGGATTCTGGCGATTTCTCTGAGAGAGTTTTGAGCAAAAGACTGAGTTGATTATGTTTCAAAATGATCACTTTGCTTGCTGTCCTGGGAATAGACTATGGGTGGGGAGAGGGCTGCAGAAGTCCATTAGAACATCATTACAGTAGGCTGGGCGCCATGGCTCACGCCTGTAATCCCAGCACTTTGGGAGCCCAAGGTGGGTGGATCGCGAGGTCAGGAGATCAAGACCATCCTGGCTAACATGGTGAAACCCTGTCTCTATTAAAAATGCAAAAAATTAGCAGGGCGTGGTGGCAGGCACCTATAGTCCCAGCTATTTGGGAGGCTGAGGCAGGAGAATGGCGTGAACCTGGGAGGCGGAGCTTGCAGTGAGCCGAGATCGCGCCAGTGCACTCCAGCCTGGACAAAAGTGTGAGACTTTGTCTCAAAAAAACAAAAAAACAAACAAAAAACCCCATCATTACAGTAACTTATGTGACAGAGAATGGTAGCAGCAGAGATGGTAAATGGTCAGACAATACATTTAGATGGTACAGCGAACAGGATTTTCTGACAGAAGGACTGAGAAAGAGGAGTCAAAATGACTCCAGAGCTCTGTAAGGACAGCACTGCCATTTATTGAAGTGGGAAAACTGAGGGCAGGTTTGGACGAGGCAAAGATGAGTAAGGTTCTGGACATGTTGACTTTGAGATGCCTATTGGGATCCAACATCAAACAGAATGCCGGAATATATTTAGAGTTCAGAGAAGAGATCAAGGATGAAAATACAAATTTAGAGATCTTCATCATAGAGAAGAGGTTCCAGAACAAGCCCTGGTGGCATTTCAAATGTAAAAAATGGGAGATGAAGAATCACAAAGGAGACTGAGGAACAGACATTAAGGTAAGAAGAAAATTAGAAGCATGTGGTATCCAAGGAGCCTAGTTAAAAAAAAAAAGTATTACAAGGTAAGGGTAATAAGCTATGTCAAATGCTGCTGACAGGTCAAGTAAGAGGAGAAAAGAGAAGACAAGAGCAGATCCACGTGATAGCACAAAAGGAAAAGGAGAGTAGAGAAATGAGGAGACTGTCTGAGGAGCAGAAGGGGAAAGAAAACTTTTTTTGTTTTTTTTTTTTTTAGTTAGGAGAAATTACAGTATATATGTATGTCAGACGGAATGATCCAGCAGAGGGAAACATCAAGTAAAGGAGAAGGGATAGAATCCCATAGATCAAGGAGGGAAGGTCTTAGATAGGTACTTGGAAGTAGGTAAGTAGTGATGGTAGACTTATGATGGCTTCTATCTTCCCAACAACAAAATACTGACAGTGAAGATAGGGGAGGAGGCCTAGGAGGTTTGAGGATAGGGAAGATATGAAAGATCCTCCAGGACAGGGAGAGAGTAACTGGACTACAGAAGTGTCATGGAATCTAAGCCAGGTAAGGAGGAAGTGAAGTGGGTTACAGATACCGCTGGGGCAGAAGAAATGCTGTGACAAGAGAACTAGAAGGAAATAAATTAGAATAACAGGAAGCAATGGTCAGGGTGGGACACTTAAAACTGAAATTATTGAACGTAGTTTGTTCTTAGTAATTGCAAGGTCTACTAGGGTATGTCTATGAAAGTAAGTGTTTAAGACATGATAGAAAACAGGATAATGGGAAGAAGAAAGTAAAACTGAGAGGCCAAATTACTAGAAAAATCACCTATGTGAATATGGCAATCACCAAGACTTATGAAAGGACAAATGTTAGAGAGTGCCAATGAGCCAGGAATTATCTTCAAAAGAGCAGGTCTGTATTTAACTGCAAGGAAGAGGCATAGAAGTGGCACAATGTGAGGACATGCATTCAAAGGGCAGGGGGCGGTTTAGGGAAGAGGAGGCATTGGAAGCTGCAAAGGGGAGACCCATCTCTACCTGTAGTACCAGAGTAATGAAGGCTGTGAGAGAAACATCAGCCACCACTTGCAGTCTGCAGAGGAATTACGTCCTCAGGGGTTATGGTCCAGTTTCACTTAGGGCAAGAAAGAGAAGGGAATGTTCATAGAGACGGCTAGGTTATAGGGGACTTTGTGGATGGCTGACAATGACTTGGCTGCAGGCAGAGACTAATTAGGAGGTCATGGCTGCTGCCCGGCTCAGATGAACGTCAATCATTCACATAACAAAACATGCCACGCCAGGCCTTCGGCTGGGTCTGGTTACCAAGGGGTAAGTGAGAAAGTCCCACCTGGGCTTAGGTTTCTAGTGTATAGTGAATGGTAAAGGAGCTCACGCTTTGGAGGAGGGAGGCAGGCCCAGGAGGAGACACAGACAGTAAATAATTATAGCTCCATGTGGTAACTAACAGAGGTAAGCATAAAATGCTTTTAAGAATAACTAGGATGGGCTGGGCATGGTGGCTCATGCCTGTAATCCCACCACATTGGGAGGCGGAGGCTAGGGGATCACTTGAGGTCAGGAGTTCATGACCAGTCTGGCCAACATGGTAAAATCCCATCTCTACAAAAAATACAAAAATTAGCTGGGTGTGGTCGTGGGTCCGTAATCGCAGCTACTCAGGAGGTTGAGGCAGGAGAACTGCTTGAACCCAGGTGATGGAGGTTGCAGTGAGCCAAGATCGCATCACTGCGCTCCAGCCTGGGTGACAAGAGTGAAACTCCATCTCAAAAAAAAAAAAAAAGAATAACCAGGACCACCTAATTTAAACTAAGGCATGTCAGGGAAGGCTTCTTGGAAGTTGGAGTGAGCCAGGTTACAGAAAGATAGCTAAGCCAGAGAGAAGAACATGTTTAAAGGTATGGGGTCACTGGGAAACTTGGATCACTTCGCATCTTGCAAACTCCATAATATTGCCAGAGTGAGAGAATGGATTTTGAGAGGGGTATAAAAGAAAGCTGGAGATGTCACTAGGGGATGAATGCTGTAACACTTCATATGCTGAAGGAGTTTAGACTGTATAATGAATGTGCTGGGGAGTCACAAAATCACTTTTTGCGAGAGAGTCACATAGCTTGTGCTGTCTGCACATGACAACTGGTAGTCTGTGAAACCTTTCATTGCCATTTTCACATCACGTGACCTGGCAGTAGGAATAAGACATCAGAATCAGCCACTGTTAAGCTACTAAATCCGTCTGTGAGGTGGGGGAGGGGGAAGACATCAGGAGAAAGTGGGGAACAAAGCAAGAACGTTCACACTTCCACTCCATCAACAATATGGCAGTTGGTAAAAATAGTAGGAAACGTGAAAAAATCAGAACCCTTGTACACTGCTAGTGACATTGTAAAATAGGGCAGCCACTTTGGACAACAGTCTGGCAGTTCCTCAAACAGAGGGTTACCATACGATCTAGTAAGTCTTCTCCTAGGTGTATTACCCAAGAGAAATGAAAACATGTCTACCTAAAAACATGTACACAAATATGGATAGCAACATTATTCATAATAGCCAAAAAGTAGAAACAACCCAAATGTCTGTCAACTAACAAATGGATAAACAAAATGGAATATTGCTTGACCATAGAAAGGAATAAAGTACTGGTACATGCTACAACATGAATGAACCTTGTGTGCAGTATATATAGGAAGTAATGGCACTAAGTGAAAGAACCTAGTTATAAAAGACCACATATTGTATGATTCCATTCATATAAAATGTCCATAAGAGAGAACAGAGAAAGTAGACTGGTGGTTGCCCAGGGCTCAGGGAAGTGGAAGGATAGGGAAGTGATTAGCTAGAGTACAGAGGTTTTTTTTTTTTTGAGGTGATGAAAATGCTCTAAAATTGACTGTAATAATGGTTGCAAATATCTGTAAATACACTAGAAACTTTTGAACTGTACACTTTAAATGGGTGAAATGTATGGTAGGTGAATTATATAAAAGTTATTAAAAAAATACAAAAGTCAGAATAAAAATAATGAAATTACAATGCCGCTAAGTTTTAGAATTCTGCAACTCTGCTTCAGTGGCCTGCATTCAGTAGAGGATGCAGATTATGATGGCTGAGGCCAAAGGGCAGCTCGAAGCCCCTGTTAGGAGATAAGCAAGGACTCAGCTGCAACAACAGAGTGAAGGTCTGCTTCCCTTTCTCATAGGCGCCTCTACAAGTTGGCAATAAGAGAGTCTGTACAGCACAGATGCTACACTTAATTTCATATGTAAATAACTGTACTTATAACTTGTGGGGCTATTATGCACTAGTTAAGTATAATATGTTTTTAAGATAGTGACTACGAGTATGAATTCTGGTTTCAAACTTGGACTGGAATTCCTGCTCTACCACTTTTGGGCTATATGATACTGGAAGAGTTGATTTAACCTTTGGGCCTGTATTCTTATCTATAAAATGAGTGTTCTAAAATCTAAAAGAGATAATGCATTTAGCAGAATACCCAACATATAGTAAATGTTCAATAAATATTTTCTATTATTATAATTGGTATTTCATCTTCCCAGAAACTCTAGACATCATTTTTGACCCCACTAAACCTGATAATTTATATGATTTACCCAAAGTTATACAGCGAGAAAGAAACTGAACTGGAACACGAACGTAGTTCTTGGTACCTACAAAACACATGTGTGTCAGCTGCACAAAGTTATCCCTAACACTGGTCAGAAATAGACTGCAGATTGTGCTTTTTTTGAGTTGCCCAGTGCACTGCTCCAGAGATTCTTGACTGTATTCGTGGAGAGAAGACAGGATCATAGAAGACACAGAAGCTAATGGAGTTCTTCAAAGATAACTGATCTCTCATCTTTGGCCTTTATAGTTTTGTACACTTAAACGTCTCTGTTAACTGGCCACAGGAAAAAGATTCTTCATTCTTCATTCTTCATTCTTCCACCAAAGCACTTTCTCCCACAGTTTATCCTCAGAGCATTTCTGTGATAATGCAATCTCAGAACTACAGAGCTAGGACAAACCTTCTAGATCATTCACACTCCTTTCTTCATTTTATATGACTAGCCCTATGATCCATGTAGAGTAGACACATAATAAGTCTTCTGTTGATAATGATAACATGCCAGGGCAAATCCAACACCAGGATTGAAAAATCTGTGAAGATAGTCATACCTTTTAAGACTGGAGGACAGCTGCCAAATATCATCAGGATCCATTCCTGTAGGATCTTTCCTGTGGGCCACGAGAAAGATGCTCTTCTCCTTATATGAGGTATAAATGGTCAGAATCCCCATCATCACAAAATAGGTTCAAATAAAGTTAAGGGAAAAATACCCAAACATAAAAGAGAAGTAACACAAATTGACAAGCAAGAGATATAAAAACTTTCATAATGATAGTCCTAAAGAAGACAGCTTTGTCTTGCTGCAAAAACACTGAAAATTTAGCTATTTCATTTTCATCCTTATGTTTATGTACCAAGAGAAACAAGGTTCTCTCTGGTTAATTCTGCAAACATCTCAAAAAGGAAGAAAAGAAAAAGGTACAGAGCATAAACTAGCTCTTATCTTTATGTTCAAAGACAACATGTATAATAAGATATTTAGTTTGTCAAGACTTTGTCATAATAGTGCTTATTTCTTTATAAAAAACAACTAATAGTCCCAGTGGACTTGACCATGTTCAACTGATTTTAAGGGTTATAAGAAGAAAAGTGACCCAAATAGTTTACTATAGGAGAGTATGTCAAATAGTACTACAATTACTTCCTGTATGCACATAGACTTATTATTATATTGTTTTTGACAGTATTAAGTACCATATATAATAAGCACTTACAGTTTGCCAAAAACTGGCATAAGAGCTTTGTGTACACTGTGCCATTTAAATTTCAGAAACAAGGCTGGGCACGTAGCTCACACCTATAATACCAGCACTTTGGGAGGCCGAGGCAGGCAGTCTGAGACCAGCCTGGCCAAAAGGGAACAATGGGAAATTCCATTTCTACTAAAAATACAAAAATTAAGGCTAGGCATGGTGGCTCACGCCTGTAATCCCAGCACTTTGGGAGGCTGAGGTGGGCAGATCACTTGAGGTCAGGAGTTTAAGACGAGCCTGGCCAATATGGTGAAACCCCATGTTTCTACTAAAAATACAAAAATTAGCCAGGCATGGTGGTACATGCCGGTAGTCCTGGCTACTCAGGAGGCTGAGGCATGAGAATGACTTGAACCCAGGAGGTGGAGGTTGCAGGGTGGCAGTGAGCCGAGATCGTGCCACTGTGCTCCAGCCCGTGTGACAGAGCAAGACTCCATCTCAAAAAACAAAACACAAAAAAATTTAGCTGGATGTGGTGGTGCAGGCCCATAATCCCAGCTACTTGTGTGGCTGAGGCAGGAGAATCACTTGAACCCGGGAGGCAGAAGTTGTAGTGAGCCAAGATCGTGCCACTGCACTCCAGCCTGGGTGACAAAGTGAGACCCTGTCTCAAAAAATAAAAATAAAATAAATAAAATAAAAATAAATTTCATGAACAGTGCTCGCTTCAGCAGCACATATACTAAAATTAGAATGATACAGAGATTAGCATGTCCCGAGCACAAGGATGACAGGCAAATTCATGAAGCATTCCATTAAAAAAGAGTTAAAAAAGATAAATTTCATGAACAGGAAAGGCAGGAAAATATACTGCAAAGTATATGGACTTCAGAATAGAGATAATCCTAGATTTAAATCTTGGCCTTTAATCAGTATAATCATAACAAATAACTTCCTTGCCCAAGTCTTAGTATCCTTACCTTTAAAACTGGGATAATACTGATATTTTAGAATTATCAGGAGATTTAGAGATGAAGGATATATGTAGTCTATGATACAGAAGAATTTTTTTTTTTTTTTTTTTGAGACAGGGTCTCACTCTGTCACCCAGGCTAGAGTACAGTGGCATGATCTCAGCTCACTGCAGCCTCAACATCCCAGGCTCAAGTGATCCTCCCATCTCAGCTTCCTGAGTAGCTGGGATTATAGGTGTGCGTCACCACACCCAGCTAATTTATTTTTTAATTTATCTAATTACTTTATTTATTTTGAGACAGAGTCTTGCTCTGTCGCCCAGGCTGCAGTGCAGTAGTGGATCTCGGTTCACTGTGACTTCCGCCTCCTGGATTCAAGTGATTCTTGTGCCTCAGCCTCCCAAGTAACTGGACTATAGGCATGCACCACCATGCCCAGCTAATTTTTGTATTTTTGGTAGAGACAGGGCTTCTCCACGTTGCTGAGGCTGGCCTTGAATTCTTGGGCTCAAGCAATTCGCCCGCCTTGGCCTCTCAAAGTGTTGGGATTACAGGCGTGAGCCACGATGCCCAATAACAGAAGATATTTATAATGTAGTCCCTACTATTATAAATAAAACTGATATGACTAAAAATAAGACCTTGTTTTATTAAACAAATATAACCAAACAAATGAATTACCATCAAGGTAGTTCTCTTGGGAGGCCAGATGTTTGTAACAAGATTGCTATAATTTTCAAATCGCTTTGGAATTCCCCTGGGAACTGTCTCTAGAACCTATAGACTATTATTCTTTTGAACTGCCTTAACAGTGAAAAATTCACACTGGGATGATTACTCTGATGACTGGAAGGAGTCAAGGATCACCTGGTACCACTTCTGGGGGCTATGTAGGGCAAACTGGATAATACAATTTTTGACTAGGATCTGCTTTATTAGAGGTTTGCTAACTGCCTCTGAAGATAAATCTCCAACATGAAGTTTTAAAACATATTTCAGGTTGGCTGGGCACAGTGGCTTATGCCTGTAATACCAGCACTTTGGGAGGATTGCTTGGGCCCAGGAGTTTTGACACCAGCCTAGGCAACGTAGTGGGACCTTGTCTTTGTAAAAAATTTAAAAATTAGGTAGGTGTGGTGGCGTGTGCCTGTCTGCTCAGGAGGTTGAGGTAGGAGAACTGCTTGAGCCAGGAGGCTGAGGCTGCAGTGAGTCATAATCACACCACTGTACTTCAGCCTGGGTGACAGGGTAAGACCCTGTCTCAAAAAAAAAAAAAAAAAAAAATTAGGTAGTGGTAACATTGTTTAAAAAAGTAAACTGCCTACCAAAATTATCTGTTTTAATAGTGAAGTATAATTAAGTTCTTTTTTTTTGGGGGGGGGGGCGTCGGGGAACGGAGTCTCACTCTGTCACCCAGGCTGGAGTGCAGTGGCGTGATCTTGGCTCACTGCAAGCTCCGCCTCCTGGGTTCACGCCATTCTCCTGCCTCAGTCTCCGGAGTAGCTGGGACTACAGGCGCCCGCCACTACGCCGGTTAATTTTTTGTATTTTTAGTAGAGACGGGGTTTCACCGTGTTAGCCAGGGTGGTCTCGATCTCCTGACCTCGTGATCCGCCCGCCTTGGCCTCCCAAAGTGCTGGGATTACAGGCGTGAGCCACTGTGCCCAGCCTTAATTAAGTTCTTTATATTCAACTTCTTGAGAAAAAAAATCAACTGGGTAGGCAACGACCATGATCTTATATTTATCATAAAAAAGAGGGGAAAGGAAATGATTATATATCAAATACAATATAAAATCTCTCATTTAATCTTCATGATAATTCTGAATGCTACCCATATTTATAAATGAGTGGTATTCAAATCATTTCAAAAATAAGTAAATTTTCATTAGCACAAGATCACAAATACCTTGGATTTCAAACCCACATTCTCTAGCTCCAGAATAAGTTCTTAATTCCACTATAATACAAGTCACACTTGTATCTCATGCTAATTTCCAGTTCAGCTCTTCAGCTTCAAGTAAACTTGATACAGATCTGAGTCTCCAAAATCAGTTCCTTTCCTAATTTGAAGCAGCCACGTCTAACGGGAAAAGTTCTGGGCTAGAAATGAGAAGAGCTGGGTTCACAATTACTATGTGTTTTGCTATTAAGTGCTCATATTAGGATAATAACCTCTACATTAATAACAAAAATGAATTACGATAAAATAACCATACTAAACATAAAATATCAATGACAGTTACTATATAAAATGATAGATGTTTACTAGATAAACATCACAGCTCATAATATTAAATTCTAACATTAGCAAGCCCTAACATGAAAGTCTGTTTTGTTTTTTGTAGGGAGAAGTATCAGCAGATTTTTTAAAATGGTCACTAGAAAACAAACCTGGGCATAAAGGATATGATATGACGCACAAAGCCAAAACGGGTTTCGACTCTGGAAAGGGGTGCATATAATCCCAAATCAAAGCCACTATGGCAAAGAAACAGGAGATTGTACAGATGGTGAGGCGACCATCAATTAGACCAAAATTCTCCACGTATTTGTATTTTTCCAGAAGTACCTGATGAGAAAAAGAAGGAATCAAGCTAATAGGAATACTTCCTTCCCCATATCTGCTTTTATTCTTGATTTCCATGATAAAAGAATCTATGAATTACCAAGAAGTTCCCTCCAGTTGGGATTTTACCACACCAAACAAATAAGACTCAAGTCTTCTATAAAGAACCAAGAGAAAAAGTTCATCAATCCCTCATATAAAAACTTTAAACTCCTCAACTTTTCCCACAGCTAAAATGTTCTTCTGACTTTTTCTGTGAGAAATTTTAGAAACTGCTTTCTGACTTAATTTCTAACACTGAAAACTAAGGTCACTCCAAGTTACAAAAGGAAAAGATTTTCCAGGAGAGATGGCCATCAGCTGTATAGATACTAACCAACCCCTTCTCAAGAAAGTACCTTTTTGGCAGAATCATCCAAAGAGTTTTTCACAGCTGATCCATCCCACTTGTCAATTTTTACAGGCTTATCATCTATCTTCCACTGTAAAACAAACAGAAAAGTTGTGCATCAAGAAACTAGGCCTCTTACTGAAGGTAAAATGAACCACTTTTTAAGAGCATCTCTCATGCACACATAATATTTACTCTTTGTCTTCTGATGCTGCAGAACTAAAAGACAAAACAGGCTATTCTGGGCACACTCCTATGGGGTAGCCCTGCAAGAAGCAGTTAAAAACAAGCAAACAAAAAAGACCAAACAATTAAAATAGATGAGGTAACCAGAGTCAGGTGGTACTCATGTGATGTTGACGTTGCCAGTCTCCATGCAGAGAATATAAAAACAACCCCAGAATCAGAACACGTATATGGGCTGCAGAGACTGTAAGTGTAAACTTGCATATCCCACCTTCATTTTACCCAAATGTGAGTATAGAAAATTACTCTATTTATTCATTCTTTCCTTCTCTGACCACAAAACTCAGAAAATACAGATACATGAATTTACAGACACTAACAAAATGGGGAGGATCTCCTTTAATATCACTTTGTCAGCTAACAACTTTTATTATTTTACTAGCATGTCTTAACTTTAAGACAGCAATTCCAGTATAGCCTGTTGGAAACAACACTAAATTTTAAATTACAAACCAAGTCCCAGACTCAGTCCCATCATGAGTTGAGTGGACAAACTCTGCTTCTATTTCCCTTATCTATAGAGGTTTAGAAAGTTTCTCAAACACTACTATTCAGAGGCAAATAATTCTCTCACTCACTGCTCATGTAGAAGTTCAAAATGTTACAGCATCTACGAATGCCAATTTAGCACCCTGAATTCAGCTTCCCACTTTTGGGAATGTTTGTATAACTGAATACATGTGAAATGATATACAAGGCTACTCACTGCAGCATTGTCTGTAATAGTGAAAAGCTGGAAGTAACTCAAATGCTCATTTACAAGGGGATTGGTTAAACAAACTACAGTACATCCAGATATCTTATCAGGGTAGAGAAATATGGGGAGGAGTAAGACTACTTATATGTGCCTTTAAAATTTTTTAACCATGTGAATGTATTACATAGTAAAAAATTTTCTCAAATGCAAGTATTTAAGTAAATGTAGCTTAAGAGGAACAGGGTGCTACAAATAATCTGATAAACCTGTTTTTTTTTGTAGACCATTAATGGCCAACTCTTAATTTTTTAGATCAAGTGAACAAATATTATATTCCATAAAAATCACAAACCAGCAAGCAATCCAAAATTCATTTGGATTTAGAATGGATTATTTTATGGAAAGACAGAGAATGTCATATTTATCTTTTGGATTGAGCACAAGTACAAAGATAATGCCTATATGAAATAAAGAGATGGCAGTGGTGAGTACCTGCCGTCCCAGATACTTGGGAGGCTGAGGTGGGAGAACAGCTTGAGCCCAGGAGTTCCAGTCCAGCCTGGGCAATATAGTGAGAACTTGTCTCTGGAAAAAAAAATAAATAAATAAACAATAAAAAATAAAATAAGAAGTGGGATAAAAATAATTGTAAAGATTTTAAACAACTACAGAAATATAATTCATCAACTTTGATTTTTTAACTGTGATTCTATATATTATTATACAAAAGAGAAGGCCGGGCGCGGTGGCTCAAGCCTGTAATCCCAGCACTTTGGGAGGCCGAGACGGGCGGATCACGAGGTCAGGAGATCGAGACCATCCTGGCTAACACGGTGAAACCCCGTCTCTACTAAAAAATACAAAAAACTAGCCGGGCGAGGTGGCGGGCGTCTGTAGTCCCAGCTACTCAGGAGGCTGAGACAGGAGAATGGCGTAAACCCGGGAGGCGGAGCTTGCAGTGAGCTGAGATCCGGCCACTGCACTCCAGCCTGGGCGACAGAACGAGACTCCGTCTCAAAAAAAAAAAAAAAAAAAAAAAAAAGGAAAACCCGTTCTGTGAAGTTTGTTGGGAAAAATAACATGAGCTAAAAATAGCCATACTTAAAGTGATTAAAAGTCAATCAAGTTTTTTTTTCCCTTGGTGCCTTGTAAAAGCAAGTGTTTTTCTTCGAGAAAATTACTCATGGCAGCATACTGCGATATTGACTGCCATAGACTGCCAGCCTACAAATCAAACATGACATCTAATTTTAAAGATGCAAACTGAACCAAAAAGAAATTAGCAGGCTTTCTAGCTAGATAGCTCATTTACACTGTCAAGTAAATCCCTCTTTGAAGACATGCAAAAGAACCAACTTGTAGAGCCAAACCCACCATAGCATTTGAATTATTTGTGAAATAAAGTCAGAATAAAGTCATTTAAAAATTATGGGTCATTCAAAAACAGGAAAATCATATTCTCAGACACCTAGCCACACTTCACTGCCTGCATTGCATCACAGAAAAGAAACTTGCCTTTATAAGTCAGAAAATAACGTCTTAAAAATTTGGGGGAATAAGACGCAGAAGCAGCCATTACAATGTATTGAAATAGCCTCAGCTCTAACTTCACTGCCTGGTACCTAGAAGCAATCTTCAGTAAGTGGAACAGAAACATTTCCAGTGAATTACATGAAATCACAAGAAAGGTTATAATTTGACTTTATGGCAACATAGGCCATTTTGAACCTAATAGTGTCTCTGGTACAGTACAGAGAACCATCTGGAAAAAGGGGAGTTGCTATTAGGGGCTGATTTTTCTAATTATTATTTCTCATCATGCTCAAAAACTGCTCATCAACTAAAATGTATGCTGCTCCTCACGTTCTCTCTACTACTAATTCGGGTATTTTAGAACCAACCTTTTTTTTTTTTTTTTTGGCCTCATTTTTGTCCTCCTCAACACTAAGTGCAAATTGCTTTCCTTTTGTAATAGATAAAGCAAAAATTAGTTTATTTTATGTAGGACCTCACAGGATAAATTATAAAGAAGGGCAGTGTGCAGAAATAAGTGAACCTGGGCCCAAGACTGCCATCTTCGGCAAGGCTTGTTTGCAAGGTTGGCCCCTGGCTGGCATCTGACAAGCTGGCTGATAAAACAGTTCCCTACACTGATACAAATACATTCCCTCAGTGATAAGAATGGCTCACTGTGCCTCAACTGTTTGTATAAATGATGTGATTTATGTTGAACACCTTTCCTCCTGGAAATCTAGAAAAAATTAAAGCTCTTTATGTTGGCAGTATCCAAAATTTCAAAATGATATCCCTTACACAGGTCAATTTTCACCCACTGTAAAACTGCTATTGCCACTCATCTTTTTATTGCAGCACTAAGCAGACCCTCAATCCAGACACCAATGTTCTTCAGATTAGAAAACGAGACTTCAAAGAGGTTAAGTGCCATACAGCTAGTAAATGACAGGCCAACAAAATTCTTTAGGGCTAAATTACAAATACATGTCTCATTATAAAACTGTCTCTTCTTCAGTGATATAAATTTATTTTTACTTGCCTTAATCCCTGAACTCAATCCCAAAGCAGATTGTGGCCTTATACTTAAAGGTGTACTGTACTTCAAATCACAAGCTAACTGGTTTTCGCCAGGCGCAGTGGTTCACTCCTATAATCCCAGCACTTTGGGAGGGTGAGGCAGATGGGTCATTTGAGGTCAGGAGTTCGAGACCAGCCTGGCCAACATTGTGAAACCTCGTCTCTACTAAAAGTACAAAACTTAGCCAGGCTAAGTAATCCCAGCTACTTGGGAGGCTGAGGAAAGAGAATTGCTTGAATCCGGGAGGCAGAGGTTGCAGTGAGCTCAGATGGCGCCACTACACTCCAGCCTGGGTGAACAGAGGAAGACTCCATCTCAAAAAACAAACCAACCAACAAACAAAAAACAAAAAACAAACTGACTGGATTTAGACTAAATACAAATGTATGCAGACAAATGCTTTTTTTCCTTATCCAATAAGTGAATCCTTATTATCCAAGGGAGAATGGAGTCAGGCTACTTTATTTTAATCTTCACTTTTCCACTTAATACTGGAAGGCTTTGGACAAATAATTTAACCGTTCTAAAGCCTTATTAGTTTGCCAATTTTAAAATAAAGACGGTGAAAGTATCTATTTCACAGGTTGGCATGAGAAGTAAATAGTGTAATTATAAAACATAGCACAGTGCACAGTACCTAGTAAGTACTTAATAAAAATTAGCTATTGCTGTTGCTATTAATGATATAAAACTATATAATACACTGCATCATGATTACCTGACTGTATGTATTATCTCCCTCACTGGGTAACAGGGACTACACACTTTTGTATTCTCAGAGCCTGGAACACAATATACTCTTAATAGCTTTTTTTTTTTTTTTTTATGTCTAAATACTCACAAAGAAAAACAGGGAAGAAAAAGATCTCTAAAATGTTACTCTCCAGTCTAAATTTAGTAAATGTAGACATGCTCAAAATGATCTCGCTTGGTTCTTATTCACAGAATTTTTTTTAAGGGATGGAGGGCAGACAGAAGGTATAATCATAGCTACCATTTCCTGAATGCCTAATATGTGCTATGTATGTGCAAAGTATTTTATATACACTACCTCACTTAATTTCCACAATAACTCTACAAGGTCAGAACAGTTAAAATCCTCCTTTCACAGATAACACTAAGGGTTTAAAAAATTCACCAAAGATGAAAGATAGAAAGTTGTAAAGCCAGGACTCAATACCCATACTCTCTCACTATTCTACACTGCTTTCCCATGAAGAGAAAGGAAAGGAATTATTAGCCATCAAAAACACAAAAGAACAGGAAGCAAAAAGGTCCCTGAAGTGACAGCTATACAATATATCTTGATTCCTAACAAGCTCTAGTTCATAACATTTCAAAAACCTAAAAAAAAAAAAAAAAAAAAAAAAAAAAAAAAAGTTAATCTGAATAGGACCACAAAATTCACAGGGTATCAAAAATGTTGAATCTCCCCACTCAACGTAAAACCAACTGCAATTTGGCTGAAAACAGAGATCAAAAAGTACTATTTTAAAGAAATTACTCCCCTACACTACCCACTGAAGAGATAAAGACAACTTTTTTTTTTTTTTTT